CTAGTTTTGGGACAGAAATTAGTTTAGCGAGTCGAAAAATTACAACAATTATTTAATTCCTAGAAATTCCTGATTGCCCCTTGACATGATTATTATTTAATGTATATTAAGTATGTATTTAATCATAATTATAAGTAAACGCAGGAGCTGGTATCGGAGTCTAAGAGTTCTCTAAGAGTGCTCTCCTTCTCCATTGTTTCTTTCTGGGATACATTGTGGTATTTGTTGGAGGAGCTAAGAGCTGGACAGGAGAAGTCTCCTCCTCTCCTCTCCTTCTGTACAGCTATGCCAGAAATCCTTATAGAGAGAGCACCCAGTTCCCAGACCTTTTAATTGATTTATATTTAAAATCATCTTTATTATTTTATTATTATTTATTTTATTTATTATTATTCATTATATATATTATTACTTATTATATTTATTATTATTTATATTTAGACATCACTTTTTCTATTAAATTTTCAGTTTGTTTGTATTTTTAAAACTATTATTATTATTTAATTTAAAGAGTGTGGGTTTTCTTTTTGCCATGCCATTTTCTCTCACTGAATAAATCTTAATTTTCCAAGTAATTTCTCTCAATTAATCCTCATTATCTGGTCACTTTTTTTGGTTTGTTTCAAACCAGCTATTGCATTGATTTAACCTACATTCTAGTGGTCGCTTGCATGCCTTAACATATGATCTAATTAATACTAGATTAAGGCAGAAGACTCTGGCTCTACATGCAGGATGTGGGATGCCTGTCTTGAAAATAAATGCTCTCATAATTAAACTGGAAATGTGTGAGCTGCAGAAATCCTAAAGAGATCTATTTAATTGCCCCTCGGCGTATCCGTCTCATTTAGATGCACATCATTCGGGCAGCAGCCTCTTTATGGGGCACTTGTCGTTTGAGTGAGTGAATGACTGAATGAATGTCACGAGTGACTGACTGGCTGACTAACTAACTGGTAAACAGACAGACAGACAGACAGGCGGACACTCAGAGTCGAATGCTAGCTTTAAGCACACATTATGCATGCATTTTGCCGTAGCCGTAAGTCTTTTATGGTCGGCATCATTCACTGCAATTGTTTGCTCTAGAAAATGCTCTCTGGCTCTCTGGTTCTAGGCTTCTGCCGAGTGAACGAGTGACCCACTTTAAGCCATAAATTAGCACAAACAGCAACAACAACAATCAGCTTTTATGCCACTTCATGTGGCATGTTGTTCCTCCTCTCTCTCTCTCTCTCTAGAATCTAGTTAGACTTCACTCCTCCTCCTCGCACGCACCAACAATTCCAGTCTTGCTTTTCTTTATAGATCATTGTCAAATGTACTTCAGCTTTCAGTTTCTCCATCGAATTGGGTCAGAATACAGCGACGGGATGGAATGGAGATGGAGATGGAGGAGGCAGCAGCAGCAAAGTAGAGCTGAAAAACAGAAGAAAAACACAGTCATTAAAAAACCATTAACTATTGTCCAATATTAAGTTATTTCATAGTATTAGATGAGTCTCTCGATTGAAATGTTTTACCCCCCGAAACAAACTGTTGGACATGGTATCTAACTGTTGGACATGGACAGTGTTTAATTGATTGGAGAAAGTGAGGCTCTCCGGTCTCGGACTCGGTCTCGGTCCGCAGCAAAATGAACCAAAAAACGTAGCTTCGAGGCTGGGAAAATGTCTTCATTGCAATCGGGCAATCAAGCAATCGAGAAAATTGAATATGCACAGCAGCTACAGCCAGCAGATAAAAAAACAACCAACCATCTCTCGATTTTGGCTTTTTGTTGTTTTTTTTTTGTTTTCAGACAGACTCTTATGTGAACAAGTCTGATTATGTGATTTTTGAAGCATAACTTTTGTGAGAGATGAAAATACGTGTATTTCCAAACAACTTTTGATGCAATCAATTGTTACATTGTGTTTTTTTTTTTAGCCAAACACTTGATTTTCAAGATTAATTTAATGTTTGAGCATGGAAACATGTTTTCTACAGCAAAAACAACTACAGGAGACCTATTGATTGGGAAATCTGAGGCGATCTGTTCCTCGGGTGCAAAAGACGTTAATTCGATGTTCAAATTTCTGCGGGGGAAAATCATATCGTAGAAGAAAGAAACCTATAACCGCTGATCATCGATCAGATCACACTGAAAGTTGCCTGCAACCGCCTAAACTTATTTTTGAATTTTGGCAAATTCCAATTACATTTTCCTTGAAAAGTTCAAAATAAACTTAATCTTACTTTAAAAAAATATGAATTTAGGGAACCCACAATTCGTGGAGAAAAGATTTCTATAAATAAATCCAGGTCTGGAATTATATGCAATTTTTAAAATATCGGTGGCTTTTTTTTGCATTATGGCCTGTTACTTTTTTGTTGTCGCTGGCAATATTTTCTTCATTTTAATGGAATTAAATTCATTTAAATAATGAATTTTAAATCCATTTGTAAATATTTTCTCAGTTCTTTTTATTCCATCACTTAATATGTGTGGTATGGTGGATCCCCTGTGAAATTAACAAAAAGATAAAATCATATTCTATTCTTTAAAAATTTCCCAACGGCAGAGAACAATAGGAAATCTTTGGAAACTCATTGGAATAACATTCTGTCATATTATCGCACACTCATTCATTCATTTGTTGGATAACGGATTACGAGCGCCATTTCGATGGTTAGATCTTTTGTTTTTCCTCCTAGGTCGTTGACGTCTGATATTTGCAGGGTATGAGGAGGGTATATTTCATTTGTGTATACTTATGACAGATGACAGGTGTTAAGGGAACTATAAAGTACGTTAATATGCAATATATTCATGATCTATTCGATCTAGACCTTGTTCATATCTTCTTTGGGATCTCGGAGCATATAATAGCTATAGTTGCCGATTCTGATCAATTATTCATTTTATTCTTATTTTTTGTATGAATCTTTAAATTAGAGAACGGTTCTTATTTGCAAGATTCGTATACACCTAAATCATTATAATAAAATGAAAATTAAAGGGTACACTTTTGTTAATGAGAACTTTTTTAAGAACTCTTCTCATATGATTTTTTCCCCTCCTAATAGAAATGGTTTAAGCATAGCTTTCGATACGTGTATTTTTCACTCAAATGGAATCATATTTCATATATTTTTGTTACAGTTACAGATACCCATTAATAGGGAGGGTATCGCCTTGTCGCATGGGACTATTTCGATTGCCTTTAGTTGTATTTTTTTTGTCCATGTGTGTGTATATTTTTTCCCTGGCAGGTCGTTGCCGTTTGTTTAAATCCGATTTTATATGCACACTTATTGATTATTTTTTTGTCATTTATTTTCTTTACTCTTCTCGTTTTTCGTTGGTTTTTCTTTTATATTTTGTTTTGTTTTTCGTTTCTTTATGTGGCTGCATTTTGAGACCGTTAGCGTTAACATTTGCTTTAATGGTTTTGTTGCGCTTTGGGGAGCTGCTGCTGCATTTGATGAACGGCCCCCAGAGCATGGTCTCTCCCTCTCTTCCTCTCTCTCTCTCTGTGGGGAGATGCAGCTCTTCCTATCGCCTCTCCTATGAGAGTTGAAAAACCCGTTTATCCGTCCCGCTCTATGATTTTGTTGGCTGCAAAAGTTGGTGTCTCGTCTGTCGCGTCTGCCACATCCCGTGGCCCGTTGGGGCTCTGTCTCTGTCTCTGTTTCTGCTGCCAGCTCCCCCTGTTCACCCCACTCTCCTACATCCCAGCCGTCTGTCTGTCTTTCTGTTTAATTTATGAAAGTTTAAATGCTCCAAAGCCTGGCGGCGATTGCATTTCGTGTTGCCTGTAAATCAGAACTACCGCTAGGCATCCCCCCCTACGTACAACATCATGATGATCATCTAAAACGAGAAAGGAAAAAGTCTTTTCTGTGAGTGCCACCGATGCTGATACCCTGACAGGAAGCATATTTGGTTCTTAAGAATATATTTTGAATATATTTCAAATTCCAAGTCTAAATGTGGGCTATACTCCAATGTGGAACCCAATCTGGAATCTATATACTTAATAAAAGCGAATACTCTTACTTTGCCCGTCTGGAACCAAAGAAAGAGTCATCATCGGTTGTCCTGCTGCTGCTGCATGCATTTCGCATTCGATAAACAATCCCCCATTCCCCAACTGGCTTGAACTTAATAAATATTTATTGTATATACTTATAGAAAGAGATACGATACGATACGATACGATGCGATATATGCGAGTGCCACAGCCATATATCCATGCCACAAAGGATGTCTGAGCCAGTGACCTTATTCTTTCATTTGGAACAGCAGCAGAGAACCACAGAGAGTTCCATTTCACAGGCAGAGAGACAGAGAGAGAGTGGGTCTCACAGGAGGAGAGAGTGGAGTGGAAGCCCGCTCGCTAGCCCCCCAAAAAGTAGAACATATTGGAACGGGCAGCCTGTCAGACAGACACCGACCGGGGCTTGGTTCCGTTCCATTGGGTCGCGGCTCTGGGTTGGGGTCTGGGCTTGGGTTAATTGATAAAAGAAACAGATCGTGCGTGCCATTAGAAAGTAAACGCGATTTCGGGCCTAAACGAGCATTGAATGCTTAAACGATGCCTCGGGGAAGTACGAGTGTACTTTCCTTCAGTTTTGTGCTTTCTGTGGGAGCTTACTGGGGATAGTCAGAGACTGGGAGCCGGCTTCAAGTAATTACTGTTTCCATGCTGGGTCTCTCATGGGTTTCTTACATTTTGCTAGCGCTATGCTCTTTAGAACTCTTATTATTTCGTCGAAATTCCCACAGACATGGCCATATACTTTGTCAACACACTGTACAGTGTGCAGTGTACACCGTATATGCAAATGGAATCGAAAGGCAACCTGAGAGGCAGAATAGTAGTTGAAGGTCTCCCCCATTGTTGGGGGATTTTAATTTTACAGATCTGTGAAAATTACTAGAGAATAATATATAAATTACATACAGTCACAAAATATCACTAATATTTCTATTATTACTGGATTTATTTGTACAGATGTTGCTGACTGTTTGAGAGCCGAAGCGATCATGTCCGAGAAGGTGAGCGCGTCCTTGGCATCGCAATTGCATTCGCATGCATTGGCCACAACCGACGGAAGTGGCGCCGCTGCCGGCTGCCACCATCCCACCACAAAGGATGCCCATCCCCCGCTGCAGTTCGAAATGGATGCCCCGGCGGCGGCAATCAGTGCGCAGTTGAATTTCAAAATAATGCCAGCGGACAGTCTGCCCGGCCTGAGCTACCAGGAGATGTTTGCTTCCATGAACACATCACAAATCTCCAATGCCTCCACCGAGGCATCCTCCAGCTGCAGTCCACAATTGGGACTGGGACTGGGTCTGGGATTGGGTGTGCCAATGGGGCCCCCGCCACCAAAGCCCAGTCGCCAGCATATGGCTGTGCAGCCATTGACCACATCCGTAAGTGTTTCCTTGAGTTTTCCATCAGTATTCAGACTGATTTATGTTTTGATTTGTCTACCTAGAAATCGTGTCGCTTTCCCAAGCTAGAGGAGTGCGCACATTTCCACTACGAGCGCGTACAACTGGGACCCCTCTCTGTCCAGCTGCTGGATGACAAGTCCGAGCACATGGGCAGCAGCATAGCCTCCCAGTCGATTGGCGGCGATCTGCCGCACAGCTCGCTGAGGAGCTTCTCCCCCGAGAGCTGTTGGTTCATCATTCGTGTGTGTCCGCAGCGCTGCGAGCCCTTTCTGATCAAAAGATCCTTTGAGAATATGCAACTGCTCGACGAAATGCTGCATCGCTGTGTGTACGATCGAAAGATCAGTGGCCTGAGGAACATGGCAGAGCTGGCCGAAGAGCTGCCGAGCGAAACGGATGTGGAGTATGCGGTGGGCAAGTACTTGGAGCGCTTCTCGAAGATTGCCTCTGATTCCCTGACCTGCGGCACCATCCTGACGTGGCTGCAGCTGGACAACAAGGGGCGACGCCTGCCCCTGGCCGATGGCGAGACGCAGCGAACCATCAACACCCCGGCGGTGGGGGCAGCTTATGGCGTGAGGCGCTATCAGGCCCAGGCCCCGGACGAAATAAACATCGAAGTGGGGGATATGATCTCAGTGATCGACATGCCCAGTCCCGCCGAGTCGATTTGGTGGCGCGGCAAGAAGTCCCATCTGCAAAAGTCCCTCTACGAGGTGGGTTTCTTTCCGCAGTCGTGCGTGGCCACCATTGGGGACAAGGTGCCGAGGAATTTCCCCATGCCAGCGCCCCTAGTGGGCCATCTGGATGCCTCACCGACGAAGCCAGTGCTGCGTAAACATGGCAAGCTGATAGCCTTCTTTCGATCCTTTATCCTGTCGCGTCCGTCGCGGCGACGGCTCAAACAGAGCGGCATTTACCGCGAACGGGTGTTCAACTGCGATTTGTCGGAACATTTGCTGAATAGCGGCCAGGATATACCCATGGTCCTGCGATCCTGTGCGGAGTTTATAGAGAACTATGGTGTCATCGATGGCATCTATCGACTCTCTGGCATCACCTCGAATATCCAGCGTTTGAGACGCGCCTTTGACGAGGAACGAGTCCCGGATCTAGGCAATCCGGAGATGAAACAGGACATCCATGCCGTCAGTTCGTTGCTAAAAATGTACTTCCGTGAGCTGCCAAATCCTCTGTGCACCTACCAGCTTTACGACAATTTCGTGGAGGCCATACAGGTGAAGGCCGACGAGGCGGATGAGCGTCTGAGGCTGATGAAGGAGACGGTACTGAAGCTGCCGCCGCCACACTACAGGTAGGGATCGGAGGAGTTGCAGGAGATCTTCCATAAATAATAACTCTTTCTCCCTTCCGTAGAACCCTCAAATATCTGGCTGAGCATTTGTACAAGGTCTCGCAGCATCACGAACGCACTGGCATGACGGACAAGAACCTGGCCATTGTTTGGGCCCCCAATTTGTTGCGTTCCCCTGCCCTCGAGTCTGGTGGGGTGGCCGCCCTTCGAGGCGTTGGCGTCCAGGCCGTGGTCACCGAGTACCTGATACGGAATTGCCATAACATATTCGATGCTCTGGAGGACCAGCGTCACAGTGTGCTGCCAGTGGCAGTGGCACTGAATCCTAGCGAGAGAGTAGAGCTCCGTTTGGAGTCACTCACCGACTGCGAGAGCCTGCTGGTGGAACAACGCGAACAGGATCAATCTTTGGGTATGGTAGAGCGCCCCAAGAGCCTGAGCACGGGAGGAGCCAAGCTCATCAGCCTGGAGGAGGCCCAAGAGCGACACTCACGCATCGAGGGGGGAGATCTGAAGCATTCGCTGCCGATTAGCATGCTGGCAAGCAGCTGCAGCAGCACCACCAATGCCGCTGCTGCTGCTGGGAACGCAGCCACCAATATAGGATCTTACATCGAGGTGGGCGGAGGTCCCTCCAGTCTCCCCGACAAATACCACACAGTGCTGTCGGCGCCACGCAGCTGGCAGAAGCGTAAACCAGACAAAACGCCCTCATGGAAGTCGATTTTTACGCGCAGTCAGCGTCAGGGCAATGTCGATCCCAGCCACAAGATCACCATTGAAGCGGGTGGCGGAAAATTGGATCCTGTGTCTTCGCGCGTTAGCTTTGTCCAGGCCTCCCATGCGCATGCCAGTAAGGAGCTCTCGAAGCACGACAAGCCCAAATCTATAGAGCTGCTGGAGACAACACACGAACGAGAGCCCAAGCCCATGGAGCTGTGCATACGCTCCAATTCCATTGACAGCCTGCGGACGGTGGGTCATTCGCGCAGCGTCTCCCATGACTCGTACTTTGATCTGCTGCAGTCCCCCCAGCGGGGACACGTGACCACCTGCCCCTCGAGGGAGCTCTCAGAGCTGGGGCTCAATTTCGATCGCGAGGAGCCGGAGATGCGCATCTTTTCGGAGAGCGAATCGCTCGTCAGTTCCCCGCGTGTGGGCAAAGAGAACGTCCCCCCGGCGTCGGGATGCGCCACGCGCAGGATAATGCGCGCCCGCCCCGAGGAGTTCTCCAGTCAGACGAACAGCGTAAATCCCAGTCCCAAGAAGCAGCCGCGTCTCAATCTATTGTCTCCCTCGTCGGCCAGGGCCCTGCCTCTTCCATTGCCAGCCACTGCCGTGGCGGCAGCGGCTCAACCGGGGCCGCAGCACCATTGCGGCCACGAGCCAGCGGGTGCGGAGAACTGCTGCAAGCGCTACAAACTGGAGGATCAGCTCTGCGATATACAGTTTATTGATTGCGGCACGCCCGAGCATGCGCCGACGGTGCAGCAACAGTTTGCCAGCGTGGAAGTGCATCCGCCACCGAAGCCCGCTAGGTCGCATGCGCCAGGACCCACATCTCCTGCCTCGGCGCGGTATAGCTATCCGTCAGTGCAATTGGGGGCCAAGCGAAAGGAGCAGCAGGCGGCCAAGGAGAGATTTAGCTATCAGGGGACGTTCATGCAGCAAGGGGGGAAGCCAGAGCAGACCCCACGTCCCGCAGTGCAGTGAGTAGATCATGGAACAAAAGAAGCGCTTCTGTATAAACTGTGATTCCTCTGTAATCTCTTTCAGCAATAACACGGTACCAATGCGCACCAAACCCCGAGTGGAACTGCCGCCAGATGCCACCGATTCGCAGGGAAAGCTATCGGTGGCCACACCCACAACGCCTCAAAGGAGTCCACGATACAGCCTGCTGCTGTGCGACACGGAGGAGAGCTCTGAGAACAGTTCGGCTGTGACCACACCCCAATACGATATGGAGCCACTGATGCGAACCTCAGCCATGTCGGGCATCTCTGGGGTATCCTCCAACATGCAGCAGCAGCTGCTGATGGGAGGCGGTAGCTCTCATGAGAGTCTGGGGCAGCATGTAAGTGAATGAAACAATACTTCTTTCCAACTCTAACGATCTGTGTTTCAGTTTAACAATCACCAAGACATGGATCAGCGTGATATGAATGCCCTGAAACGAGAGTTGTCTTTAGATTTGCAACCAGTGCAGCCACGCCTGCCGCAGCCCGCGAATCGTGCGGCCACATTGCCCGTGAAGGAACAACTGCAGGCAGCAGCAGCCGCTGCCTCGCCCAACAATTCGAATTTCACGGACAACACTAGTCAGTCGGTAACGCCCAGCGAATACGGCTACCAGCACTTGCAGCGGCATCTCAGCATGCACTCGCTGCTGGCCACAGAGGAGAGCTCCCCGGTGTACGAGGACTTTGAGCAGACGCCCAGCAATGGACTGCACAAACTGGTGGCAGCCACAAGTCCCATTAAGTCAACCATAAGCATCACATACAAGTCCCCGGAGAAGGAGAAGCCCCAGCAGAAGCTGCTGGAAACCAACTTTGACGAGAATATCGTGTACGAGCAGGTGAAGCTCTTCCGCAATTCGGTGACGGAAGTCAATCAGATGATGCTGAGAGACCAGGAGACGCGACCGCCCTGTCTGAAGCAGATCGAGGAGGAGGAGCACGATGTGTGTGCCAGCAAGGCGGAAGAGATGACAGAGCAATTGCTCCAATTGGAAAAGGAGCAGCAGCAGCAGCAACAGCAACAGCTCTTGGAGCATCAGGAACTGACCGAAGACGATGAGCAGGAATCCCAATTGCTGTACGAAAACATTGAGCTACGAAAACCGAAAACAGTCTACGAAAATCTACGTGGCGAGGAAATGAAACTCATTTTAGAGCCAGACCTCAAACCAGTCGTCAACAGTGATCGAATCGAATTGGATAGTCTCGACAGTTTGCCCGACAACATGGAACAGGAGCACGAGCTGCCAACAGAACTCCATCTGGCACCAATGCCAGCCATGCCAGTCAGCAAATCGCCATCGTTCAGTGTCAAGGAGTTGGCCAATAAATTCGAGAGTTCTCCGGTGGAGCAGCTGCCCAGCTTTGACTTTTCGGTGCGCGGCGGCTCCATGAAGAAGCCAAATGAGTTGAGTGTGCCTCTGTCCATGCCCAAGGCCATGCCCGCACCTGTTCCACTAAAGAAACTCAACAACGCACAGAAGATCACGCGTTCGCTGGACGAGAATGCCTTTGTGCGTGAGTTTGGGGGCAAACAGTTGCAGGATCTGTCGCTGAGCAAGTTGCCAGAACTGCCAGAAATGAACAATCGCCGCAAGAGCTTCGATTTTACGCGTCCCAAGACTTTGAATCCCCCAAAGAGGCTGCCGGGTATGAGCATCACCGAGGAGATTTGTCAGAAGCGCGGCAGCGGCGGCGGCGGCGAACCCGAACCGATTGCCATCACTCCCACCACAGAGAATCGCATTTCCCTCATACAGAATAATGTACCCAAAGATCAGCCAGCATCAGCTACGCCGTTTCCCCCACCTGTCGGACGAAAGAGTGTGGTCGCGGGAGTGATTCTCGATCGCGAGCGCATTGAGAAGATCAAGGAGGAGCGACGCCAGCAGTTGACACAGAAGTACCATGGCGACACATTGAAGTCGCGATCCAAAACGGAACTCAACTCAACGGACGACAGTAATTTCCCCGCCACGGAGTCGTTGCGCATTAAATCCAAGTCACGCGGTGATATGCACTCACTGCAAAAGGACATGGACATGAATCTGAAGCAACTGGCCCGTGTACCGGGCGGTGGCTCTGAGAGCACACTACATACAGTACCCAGCGATTATGTGGGGCAAGGAAATGGACAGCAGGGACAACAGCAGCAGCGTGTGCGTAGCATTTCCGATGAGAAGAATCAAAATTGTGATACCAATAGTGGTGGTGGAGTTGCAGGTGGAGGTGGTGTGGGCACAACGCTTCTGAGTGTAAAAACGGCTGCCCAGAAATACGGCAACCAGAAGGCAGCTCCATCATCGTCAGCATCGATAGCATCGTCGTCGTCATCGTCGTCTGGGCTGGTGCGTGGCCCACCACCGCAGCCCCTGCCACGTGAGCGCATGCCACAAAGGAATTCGTTGGCAGCCGAGAGCAATGCGAGCGCCAAGTGAGTGTTAAATGGAGATATCCCATTGATCTTTATGACTATTAATATGCACCATATATCCCTCTTGCAGCAACAGAGAAAAGATCTCACCACAATTCTCAATACGCGATGTGACAGCGATGTTCGAATCTCGTTCACAAAACCAATAGAGTTTAAGTAAAGAACAAAACTTACCAACTAAATTGCATCGAAATAATGAGACAGACGGTTATACGCCTTCTGCTATATATATAATCACATTTAATAATGGATTCGGCAGCGAATTATATATGCTATATATTTTATTTAGTTTTCTAAAACATGTACTTTTAAGCATTGGAAATTCTCTCTTATATCTGGCGCGAGCGGCAACCCCAAAGACACTTTCAGCTACATACTATAAAATGCCGCCTGAGGATTCGGATCTGGATAGCAAGAATAATATATAATGATAATGACAACGCCTTGCGCCCTGAAATCGTATGCAAAATTCAATTTTGTTTTGGAGAAAGAAGAGCATCAAGATGGAAGAGAGAAAGTTGAACTAAAAGACCATCCTATACCCCCCAAGTGGATGAAAATTGTTAATGCATTTCATACCCCCATAAAGGTGTTACGTTTCATTGAAAAAGTTAATTAAATTTCGGTTTTTATTTGTATTTTTGTGATTTTTTGTTTGTTTCTCGAATGTTTTCTGTAATTCTAATTTTTCTTTTGACGCGTAAGAGCTTTCTGTAAGCATTTTGCAAGCAACTTTGAGCGAGTTGTATTTAAGTTAATTATTATACGATTAATTTATACATACTATATCTTTTAAAACAATAAACTCGATTGCATTGTCCCCACTTCGATCCATAAATACACTTTGTAAATACTCGTTCTTTGGCTTTGCTTTTCACTTGAATGTTGCTTTAAGTGGATAAAAACTATAACACAAAACTAGAGATATATCTACAGTACAAGTTGAAAAGTCTGTGTACGCGACTTGATTGAGGTCTGATAGAGGTTTTTTCAAGATAATTAAAAACAAAAAATACTCTACTAATATAAGTCCTAATGATGTAGTAACACTAATTAACACACTTAATGGTTGTCTACATGAACAAAAGAAACATTTACTGGTAACAGTTCGCTATGAAATGAAAAGCTGGAAATATAATAGATTTTTCACCTAGAAATGCTGTACAAAATATTTGCTTTTTCTTTATATGAATTAATAATTTGATTGTACGATTGAAATCTAATTCCAGTCTGTTTTGAGATTCCTAGTTGTACTACAAAAGCAGTGTAGTGTTTTTCATCAATTGCTGAATATAGTTGAAAAAGCATATATGTATTTCTTAGAGATATGTAGAGATTATCCTTTATTTTTTACTTTTTCTTAGTTATACATTATTTCTACACTAGAATTCGTAATAAAATCTTTTCTAGATTCCCAATTGTACTACTAAAATAGTGCACATGTTTTCAAGTATTCGAAACTTGCTGAATATATTTTTTAATGGATTTAAAGATTCATTCATTTAAAGTCTTATTTTGCTCCGCCCTGTAAGTTTGAGCCTAAAGTTGTATGAGACCCAAAGGAAATCTATCTTGTTTTTGAGCGCGTACACAGTATTGGATTAGCATAAACCCCTTAATCCTATCTTTGACCAATCAAAAATGTTTTCAAATCAAACATAAACTAAAACGAGAGCTAACACTAAAAGACAAACTAACTAAAGGAATTTTAATGTGTGGCTAGTGCTTAGATTTGACTACTAGATAAAATTCATATATGTATACTCGTGTATTCAAAGGCGGAAAAGCAGATAAAAATCAAATAAAACAAGTAATTGCATTTTCAATTGACTCCAGAAGCAGCTGCCAAATTGTTTTTATATTGAAAGCCTAATTCAAAAACGAAAAGACCACAAAATGGAAAAATAAAGGAAATTAACAGAATTGTAATACAATAACTAAATAGAAAGCTTTAAAACATAAGTTAGCATTTGATATATTTTGATAAAAAAAATAAAAGAAAACAGAAACGAAAGAATACACAATTATATTGCATATTGACTGAGAATGACAAGAATAGCGGAAAAAATTTAAAGAACGCTTAAAAAAAAAACTATTTATGAAAGGAGCAAAGATCAATCAATCATTAAACTGGAATAGGAGATGAATTGTGAGGATGAGAAATTATGGATGATGTCATGGAATAAGTACACACTTTGCATTAACATATTTTATAATGAAACATTACAAACAACACTAATTTAACGCATATAAATAAAAAGAAAATATTAAGACTAATTGATATTTGTTATAGCTTGGGAGGGTCTCTTAAATACCTATAAAAGAAAGGGGTTTCTTGTTCACCGGAACGAAATTAAACCTTTAGCTAATCATAAATGATGAAAAACGTTCCTCAAATTTAGCTAATGCAGCTCTCCATAGGTAACACAATGACTTATACTAACCTCATACTGATTCTTAAAGTTAAAACAGTTAAATTCTTTATTCTATTCCATTCAATCCAATCGTTTAGTTGCTGAATCAGAGGCTTTAGCACTGCAGATATATATGCCCATAAACCTTATGAAATTCCACCCCTTGAAGTAAGCAATAATAGTTGAAATCAATTTGTGCCACTATAATTCCCAACCAGTTCTAGCCGCACAGTCATCAGGTGGTGGCTGATTTCCAGCTTCAAGTTATCGCTTCTCGGCCTTATGGCTAAGATCAAAGTGTAGTATCTGTTCTTATCAGCTTAACATCTGATAGTTTCTCCATTGGAGAACAACAAATGTTAAACTGATTTTTGGAATCAGACGGAGTGCTAGGGGCTTGCTCCACCTCTGTCGCGGGTTGGCCCGGTATTGCAGTACCGCCGGGATTTCGGCCCAACTAAATAATCAATTCACACGCTAGTTTAAGAGGGATTAACATTTTTGTTGTTATTGTAATATAATCTGAGTCGTCTTATGTTGTATTTTATCCCAAGATGTCTGACAAATAAAAAAATTTCCGTCACTGCACGATTGGTCGTTCATCAACGATTGGGAGGTGGATGTGAATGTGTATAGCTCGACGCAGTGTTCAGAGTTGTCCTTGTTATTGGGTTCGTTCTCATTCCAGTGAAAGAATGTTCCCGGCAAGCCAGTGGTGGCCGAAATAAACTCTCTATCCTTTTTTATATCGTTCAAATCTATCCAATACCACTGGTTTGGCTGCAGCACCCTGTAGAGTGCCTTTATCTCATCCTCGCTTTGCAGACTCGCCAAATGAGCTCCCATCTCACGGCATTTGTGCAATGCATCGCTCCAGTTCATTTTAATTTTTTTTTCTATGTAATAGTATTTGGAACCAATTTTTTCGAAAACCAACAATCTTTGAAGTCGCATGTGGGTGATCTTTGTCAACTCCTGCTGGATCTCTATCTGTCGTCCTTGAGTGTATAGCTTTTCGTCTATTTGCGCGATTTTTGATAGAGTATCTTCCATCTGCTTGGAGCTCTTTTCCAACTCCTGCTGGATCCTTTCTAATCCTGCCTCTAGTTTTTCGTTTTTTTCAATTTCGGCCAGTGGTGAGAGAGTATCTACCTGTTGGGAGCTCTTTTTCAATTCCTGCTGGATTGCCAACTCTCTTCCTAGAGCCTCCAACTTTTTGTCCATTTCCGCGATTCTTGATAGAGTATCTGCGGGCTGTTTGGCCTCGTAGGACTCCACTCGGTTTTGAAGGATGGCGAGTACTCCAGCACCGGTTTCACAGCTACGTAACAGTATCCTCCGCACTCGTGTTGAGATTCATCCACCTATTGGGGCGCATTAATGTTCTTTAGATTTATGTAGTCAATAAACTGAATGTTGCACTCACCTCACAATGCCCTGACAGGGATCTCCCGAAGGTTATCGCAAATAATATGAATACAATGGAACATTGCATTGCTAGTACTTCTCTCAACACAATACAAAATGCAACTGATTTATATAAGAAAGCTGTGGATTTCTCTGTGCTGAACAGCTCAAGAACGATGAAATGAAAATGAGTGGAAATATCAACTGATTTAAATTAATTTGCCAAAATTCCACCGCTTATTTCGAGTTGGCAAATAAATATCATATCAAAGAAGGGACAGTGACCTCCCAAAGGTTATCTCAAAATTATATGTCAACCAAGAACAACGCACAATGGATTTCTCTGTGCTGAACAGGTTAACATGGATGAAATACAAATTTTTCCAAAAATTCATCTGATTAAAATTAATTTATTTATGTGTACAAAGAATATACAAAACCCTGTTGGCTGTGGGACCAAGAAGGTGTTCCATTACGGGGTTTTTAAGGACGCCCCGTAGGACCTGTAGGAAGTTGTATAGTTTTTGTTATAGTCCACCGATCCATTCCAGTTGGCTAATAAAAATCACTTCAAAGAAGGCGGTTGCCGTGCCATATGTCCATCGTTTCCATTAGCCGTGGAGTTCTTTATCCGTTCCGGGTTTTCGCTGGGGGTACCCGCGGTACCTGCTGTGAGAGTGTCAAAAGAGCAGAGAACCTTACGACACGTGAGAAAATTAATTTGATTAAATTGCCACAGAAACGCACAGCGGGACAGGAGTACGGGGGGTGCAAGAGGGGGAGGCGTTATCGCCAAATCAGATGCTGTTGTTGCTAGCCGGCTACTTAACGCGGACACTCAACAACCACCCGAGTAAATACACATGCACTGAGAGAAAATAATATATCCCTATGTCACAGGGCGATTTTTATGGAAAACGCAAGAGTCGTTCAGAATATCACAGAGAAATCAAATGAAAGCTCATTTCCATGGATTCATCTTAAATTGTTTTCTTTCAGTGCAGTACGTGTGTGTTTCCGTGTATGCGGGTTGTCGGTGAATGCACTAAATGATGTGCATAAGTGCGAAAACGTTTTCCCTCTGCTCGAAGACTCTTTCTACACAGTTCTCCCCCATCCTCCCAGCCTCTCCACTGATGCTTTCGTCTCTCTCCCTCTCCCCCTCTCTATCACACTCTTAAGCTCTCTGTTTGGCTTGATTGACGCTGATAGGGCACGTGTTGGCAATTATTTTAGAATAAATATATAATAAAAAGCTTCACCATGGGACCAAAATCAGTAGATGACTTCTTTGGTGTGTCCTTTCTGTGCTCTTTTACATCTTGGGCACGGTCGAGATATGATTTCTAAAGAGTAGGATGTCGAGGCATGATTTCGGAAGAGCAGGAGGTCGAAATATGATTTATGAAGAGCAGGAGGTCGAAATATGATTTCTGAATAAATAGGAACTGAAATTAGGATGCAAAGGGGGAATATTAATGAGTTATTAGTTATATAAATATTGTACTCATAATAAAATAAAGATTGTGTTGAACACACACCCAAAGAAAAAAAAGATACTTTTTAAGAGTACTTGTTAAAAAAAAAACCCTATGAAAACTAACTAAAATACACTATTCTTTATATTCCAATTAAATTAAGATACTTTGATTGACATTCCCATCCATTTAATATTGTTTTTTTTTGTTGAATTTGCACGTATTTTAATCGATATACTGAGAAAATCCAGCTTTAAAAGTTTTAAAGTGGATCTATAAATGCAATGGTCTGTCATTTGGTTTGAATTATACATGTATATTTCGACCTCCGACTAAAGATTAATTATTATTCATAAAATGTCTTAATTCTACAATTTTAGTGAATTTCCAATCGTTTTATCAGTTGTAATTCAGTCGCAAGCCCCCTACACACTCGCTTGTCTCGACCGAATGCCCAAAATGAGTATTCAATATATATTCATTTCAATATAGTAAAGATTTAAATCTTTACACTGGTTGCCATTCTCCACTCTTTTAAGTACGCAATAATCGAATGAAATAATCATCAATCAGTATCAATCAAACCTTAAATTACAGCATTACAGATTCTTAACTATTTAATAGTTTAAAAATTGAATTAATCTTTCATATTCTCCATACTAATTGTGAGGTATTTCACAGTCAGAGTCTTTCTAAGCATTAGGGGTCATTAAAAACACCCACTCTCGCTCACACTCACTGTCCCTTTAGCTCTCCCTCTCTAGGGTATTCGCATTCCTATTTAAAGCCACTTTTCTGCTTTTATTATGGCATTGTGTGGGAGTTGGGTGTGGGTTCGGCTGCTGATTAAAACTCTCTTGTTGTGATCCTAGGCACAGTAACCTTTTTTGCACCCTGTCACTCCCTCCGCTGGCCTCCTCCCGCCCAAACAATTAGAGCACTAACAAATGCAATTATCCCGGCACCTCCCTCTATATTCGAGAGGCAGCGGACAGGACCATTCCATCATTCCATTCCTTCACCCCTTGCGGCACACAATTGCTCTCATTGGCAACAATTGTAGATGAACCCGGAAGACCAGAGCACGAGAATCCTTGTTGAACCGACAAACACAGAAAAAACTCAAGGATATCAGAGTGTTACAACCAAGAAATATCCATTACCTACAGTCGAATAATTTTCTCAGTAGAGACGAAAGCTAATTTATTTCATAATTTAATAATAATTATAAAATAATCCTAAGAGAAAAATAAAAAAATATTATTGGGATTTTTTGTATCCTATTCTCCCTGTAATATTTATTTAATCAAGATAATTATTTAAATACCACTACATTTTGATATTTCTTATACGTTTACCATGTGGTACCCGCTTAAGAATCCACGCAGACTTTATTTATTTAGCAGAGATGGCAAATGGTATGGAGAATAATAAAAAGAACCAGCCCTCTTAGTCTTAAAGAAAGCTCTGCGGGATATAGAGATAGGAACCATTTACGGACTTCTTAAGGGTTTCAAAAATACTTTCCTTGTATATAACATGACCTTCTATACCCTGTAAAACGAAAAGCAGCAGCAGCACCGGGGTGTGAGGAGTGCGGAGCATAGGAGAAAAGTTTTCCAAACGCGTGCCACATATTAAATTACATCGAAATATGTGCACACGCGATGATTTGTCGAAGGGGCAGTTTGTAATTTGCTGGCATTTTGTCGATTTTATCAGGCAGCAGCAGCAGCAGCGAGTGATGGTAGGAACCGGTAGGTGGGGTGGGGAAGGAAAGGGGCATTGCTGATATTTTGATACATTTGTTTGATTCCACAGTCATGTAGTGTAGTGTGTAGCTCTTTAATTGAATTTACCTCGCGTAATTGTCGCAAAATTTGATTGAGAGTCCGTTCGAAATGAGGGACTTTCCCGGATATGGCACTTCCAATGGGCGTTACAAGGCAATTTTCCACCAACATATTTCATATTTAAATGCAGCCGAAAGGGGATTTCATGGTAGAAACTGTCATAAGAGCTGCTAAACCGACAGGACAGGTCTATAATTATTGAAAGATTAAAGGGAACTATTTGTGCTCTGATATTTTAATGAGTCTGAGTCTCTTTAGGTAGGTCCTGTAGGAGATGTGGACTTTAAAAGGGGGTAAAAATAATGATAGTGCATTAGTTGAATGCTTATTAGACAATTAGACAAACCAATTGATGTCCTTTCAATAGTTTTTAAGAAATGATCTCTTTAACCTTCCAATCCTCTTTATTAAAGATAATTCCCATTACTGAAATTTATACTCCATTTTCTATCCTTAAGATGTTCCTAGAATGTTTCATCATGTAATAAGAACCATATTTTCTTTGGTTTATGGATATTCTACAAAATATATGCAGAAACCTCCCTTTTTGTATTCCGTAATCCTCGAAAGGAAATGCCACTTGCTGCTGATGACCCCAGGACCCACTAAGGATGTAGACACTTGGGCTCCCGGTAACACAAAGGACCCCTAAGGATGTGTTGTGTTGCTTGTATCAAAAGTTAATTTACCGAGAATCAAACTTAAATGCGGAAAACGGATCTAAGAAGAGACCGACGTCGCCGAACGGCAGTCACCCCAACGAAGAGCACGACCCCGACCCATGGCCTTACTTGTAACCTGATCATTGACACACTTCAGCTTTGATTTCAGGGAATTATGCTAACAAAAAAATACAGAAGAGAAGCAAAAGAAGAAGACATCGTCCTTGTCGACAATACAAAAGGATTTGCCAGGCCAAACTGACACAAAATGTTGTAATTGCCCCGACGATGAGGCCCGTGTCCTGTGCTCTGTGCTCTGTGCTCTGTTGGTAACCGCAAAGTGGCAGTGCAATTTGATGCCTCGGAGATGCAGCCACATTTTTATTATTATAAAAATTAGGCTTAGCTCGTTTGACGGGGCACGTGCAACAACGGCATCAGAGCGACCCATCAGACAGGGCCAGACAGGGACACAAATTAAGCAGACTAAACGATTCCACAAACACAGGGCCATGGGAATCTCTTTCCCTCTCTCTTTCTCTCTCTCTCTTTATTTTGTAAAACACAACAAAAATCAATAAAGAACTCAAAGAAAGGCACACACTTTTAAGTAAATTTTCAACACAAACGCTCTTCCGCACGTTCGTGTTTCGTGTGTCGACGGGATAACACAATGGCTGACAACAAAGTGGTGTGGTAGTGGAGTCCTTTAGTTGGTTTAAGACCGGGCTTTGGGGCTCACCTGTATGGGGAGTGGGCTTTTTGGCATCCCCCTTTGGATGAGAAAGTTAAGTGCTTTTAGCCAGGTGGGGGAGTGTCTCTGTGGGTTGCAGAGAGCATCAGTTGTCAGGCTCTACTCCTCTGAAACTCTTTTGAATGGTACCCAGAAAGGGTAAGGTATATTTGAATTCTGTGAATGGGAATAAGGGTATATGCACCCAGAGAGAAAAGCCCTGAGCCCCGAATAGTTACACTTAGGTTTTAATATTTTGTCCAAGTGCTTTCACTAAAATGTTAACATTAATTAATATGAAAACATTTCTGATAAGAAAAGAGTGCATTTTTGTTTAATTTTATTATTTTTGTGCTTAAAGACGTAATATAAAACTTAAATTTTTAAATGTTTCTCTCAGTGTAAGACTATATCTGCTCTGCAGTGCATTCCATCGTATATGTATATACATTATTATTTTACAAAATCTTCAAAGCTCCTGACTAGCTGTTTTTAATTCTTAAAAATCATAAATAAATGTGGCAGGGCCTTAAGTTATTTCAAAAACGTACCTCCATGAGTGAAATAAGGCCCAATATGCTCTCTGGTTGCGCAAACATATGTATGTAGAGCCCCCCCATGGACATACAGTACTCGTATCTACCATATTGTCCCCAACCAAAACCCCACCAGGCAGCGCCATGCCCATCCTAATGCGCCCGCTTTAGGGCTTTAACCTAATAATGATGTTCGACTTACTTTGCGTGACTTATTTTATTAATAAAACGAGCAAATTTGTCTTGCTTTTTGGTCGCATCCACGACATTCACTCGCCCGTTGCCGTGTCGTTATTGTCTTTCCCTTCGCCCTGTTTCTACTGCACACAGAAATGGGGGCACGGGCCCATCCTCCCCCCACATCTTTTGGGGTGGCTGTATCTCTGTCTGCGGGGCAAACAAGGACGAATAGCTGTTGCCTGCAACCCTGACAAGTGCTGCACGCCGATTGGTTGGGCCTTAGGGCGAGAGAACACGCCCCCTGCCCCCCAGCACAGAGCCATCCCATCACAAAATGGGGTGTACGGCTATGTTGATTGAATTACAGCCAAGTACATATTTTGGTACAACAACGAGGGAAAAAATTTCACCAATTTGGAGGCGAAGCAAAGCGAGGCGGACATCTTGGGGCGCTGTTGCAAGGGGCCCTTCATTAAGGACCAGAACCAGCTCATTAAGTACAGTTGTGCAGGCGCCGTAGTAGCAAGGGGGGAGTGAGAGAGAGAGCAGACACAGAGACAGAGACAGTGATAGAGTAGGGTTTTGAGGGAGGGGTCCCAGGCAGCGAAGGGAGTCAGAAGGCATCCATCTCCTTCTGCCGTGAATCTTTAATTCAATTATAATAATTGTGGCATTTAATGAATTTAATGCATGCACATCATTCAGACAACAATGGCGGCCATGACACGTTAATTATGCGTGAACCGGAAACAGCAGACCGTAAGAGCGGAGCGGGGAGGAGCACCACAAAATGGCGGCGCCAGGAGGCATACGGCAGGACAGACCCTGAGCACATAGTTGTGCGAATTATTTGCGGTTAACATGGGTCAATTAAACAAAAGCATCACGTACATTACACATCCTTTCCACGTCTCCATATCCCCATATCCCCATATCCCATGCCAGTGCCGATTCCCATTCTGATGCCCATTCCCATTCGGAGGGTCTCGTAACCTAGTTAAGGACCTCTGGTAATCGAGGCTCGCCCAACGGATCGGATGCCAGCAGTGGGAATATGCAGAAATCTTACTAAAAATTCGAGCGACAGAGACGACCATAGCATACCCCCAAGAAGGGGCACATGCAAATTGGGGGTGTGTTTCACAGGTCCAGAGTAGAGTCCGTGGATTATGGCATACGGGCGTACGGGAGTGCTCGTATTTTGGATCTAAGCGGACACCACAAACGGAGCGGAGCGGAGCGGCGGCTGAAACTGCATTGGCCCGGGTGGCGGCGGCCAGGGTGGATTGCAACCTCAACCCCTGCCCAGGATCTGCATCGCATCCGTCTGTCTCTGTCTCTGTCTCTGATTTGTGGAAGCAACAGCATCTCTCTCGCTCTCTCCCTTTTGCACATTCGTGGAGACTCGTTTAGAGCAATTTGCTGGTTGATGTGCGGTGATTGCCACAAACTCAACGCGACCGTCAACGAGTAAACAACATAAGCGCGTCTCCGCACAAGGACATACATACTCCTGCACACACGGTCCGCTATCTCTATCCGCATCGCTATCCGTATACGTATTCGCACTCCATTCTGAACTCCGAGTCGATCTGATCTACACACACATGTCAATGCTTAATGAAAACGGTTTGAGGAGTAGTCCCGTGGATGCACATGGCAACAATAAGGGGGGCAATGCGACCACAATGTTGACCACAAAAACGCCATTCTCCATCGAGCATATATTGTTTCAAAATTTGAATAGTGCCAATAGCAATAATAGCAATAATAATGTGAATAATAACAGCAACAATAATAACACCCCAAAGTGCGGCAAGAATGCGGGCAAAAGCGCCAGCAGGAGCTCCTTTGCCACATCGTACGACAATAATACCCAGAAGCAGCATCACCATCCGACGGCGGCGGCGCCACACGCAACGCATCAAACATCGGCATCGACTGCATCCTCATCCGCGACGGCATCCACACGCGGCGGCCAGGGAGCAGCGTCGGGATATGGCAACGAGGACTATGCCAAGTCCCTGCACAATAGTCAACGGTTAGTGAACATATATGTACATATGTATAGCTCTGACCTTTGAGAGATTTAAATGGAAAAATTAAGTATATTGGAGAGAAAATTAAAGCAAATTAGTTCAGATATCAAATGTTACAAATTAGGAACAAATTTAACAAAAGGAAAAGCTAATAGAATGAAGGAGTGGTTCCAAAAATATTAGTTAGTTAATAAAGTTCTACTTTATTAATCAAATCAAATAATAAACTAACAACTTCTATGGAAAGTTTATTGAACATAACTATTTTTAATAACGAGTGAAAGTGCGTTGAAAACATATGATCTGCAAAATTATAGAACTTAATGGAACTGTATACTACATATAAATCTTTTTCATTGTATTGACATTGTTTAATGTAGAAAGTTTTGAGAAAAATGGGAAGTATGGGGGAAAAATAAATGCATTCAAGGATAAGCGTATCCGTTTAGACAACAAAAAGATATTAATTTTAAATGAATGAAACCATGTTAAAAATGAAAAGATCCAGAATATTTATGTTATAATTAAAAAAAATTTTTTTACTTTACTAAAAGTTTAGTATAAAATATATTTGATACTTATTTTTAAGAAGGGAATGCAGTTTCCAGTCGTAAGAATCAGAACTGTTAGTTCAAGTGATTTCAAAGTTATTTAAAAATCTGTTCCTTAAAATTTGAAAGTGTATTACGGAAATGAAAGCTTAGTTCTAACAAAATAAGGGACACTAGGAGATACTACAAGATACCTCATAATATATTCGACGCTAGGACCTTATTTCAATCCTCTTCAAATTCAATAAAGTTCCTCCCAACTTCCAGTGGCAGCCATCATTCACGTGCTGGAGCCTCTCATTACGGCAGTTCTTCCGGAGAACCAGCTTCCCAACAGTTGGGATCAGCGGGGGGCCAGCATTCAGGACCAGCACCGCTGCCGCCAGCACCACAGCCTCCGCCTCCACCGCCGCCAAACGGAGGAGGGCCCAATGGAGGAGTTCTGTATCCCAGTGCGGCCTACACGGACCATGGCTTCCTGCAAATGACCCTGGGCTATCTGTCGCCGTCGTCGGGCACATACAAGTCGGTTGATCCCTATTTTCTCTCACAAGGTGAGTGCCACACGAAAACTTAACTATTTGCATGACCCTCGTCCGTGTCGATAGCCATTAACACCCAAAAAGTTGTCCTTTCCTACAAACTATAATGAAATTAATGAAATGTTTTCCAGCCAGCCTGTTTGGGGGAGCGCCCTTCTTTGGGCCGCCCGGCTGTGTGCCAGAGCTGGCCCTGGGCCTCGGGATGGGTGTGAATGCTCTGCGACATTGCCGGCGGCGCAAGGCCCGCACTGTGTTCAGCGATCCCCAGTTGTCCGGCCTGGAGAAGCGCTTTGAGGCACAGCGGTATCTGTCCACCCCAGAGAGAGTGGAGCTGGCCACAGCTCTGGGTCTAAGTGAGACGCAGGTGAAGACCTGGTTCCAGAACCGTCGGATGAAGCATAAGAAGCAGCTGCGTCGACGTGACAATGCCAACGGTAAGGGAAGCCCCCTTTCTTGCAACAGAACTTGGAACTTTCTTTGAGGAACTTTTTGGACCTTCAATTAGCCTTTGCTCCTTTGGCTTTTGGCTGTTGGCTTTTAGAGTTGCCAAAAGTTTTGCTCAAGTTTCTTCGCAAATCAAATTAGTTCTAAAATTTGTGCAAATTTCTTCTACTTTCTCTACTCTCTAGAACCCGTTGACTTCTCACGCACCGAACTAGGCGGCTGCAGCACTGGCAAACAGCAGCCTGGCGATGCCTCCTCTGCCTCCACGGACGTCTCCAAACACAGCTCCAAGATGGGCTCTGCGGCCAGTGCCGGCGGCGGCGGTGGTGCTGGTGGCACCCCCAGTCAAACCCCCAATCCGCAGCAACAGCTGCAGATGTGCTTCCTCCAGCAGGGCTACTCCACGGACGACTATTCCGACCTGGAGGCGGACAGCGAGGATGAGGATAACTCCAGCGATGTGGACATTGTGGGGGACACAAAGTTATATCAGCTCTCATAGACCCCTGATAGATGGCTGATCAAATCTGTTCGATCGATGAGAGCTATTTCGTTGTTTTAAATGGGGAAATGGAAGGATTTTCTAAAGGTATCTATCTATATTTAAGTTTTTGCTTATTATCTATTATTTAATTTTTTAAATATATTTTTCGTTGTGAAAACTATGGTTTTAAATACGTTCTAAAATATTTTAAACAGACGAAAATGAATGGCATTTCCGTATCATAAGCTTAATATTCCTAATCATTTGAAACACAAAGTAACGTTAAAGAACTGTAAGAACCTGAATAGTATTTCTGATCCGAACTTTAATTTTTAAAATATTTCTTCTTTATAAAATAGAGTCCTTATATTTGGTATTTAAGTTATTATTTTACCAATGATTTTTCCAAAGAATAGTCAACACTTTTTTGTGATCCCTTTTTTTTTTTTAAATTCCTTAAACTAAATATTATTATTCCCCATTTAAGACCGTTAAAGCCAGACATCCTGTAAATACCGATAAGTACCGATCAACGAGTTGAACGAGTTGCTGTCTAGTCACGAGCTATGTCTAAGAGATATATTTAATAACCACAAACCTAATCAAATTTAGTGATTGTATTCAAGTACTTCCATTTTAAGAAATTCTTCTCTACTCCTAAAAAACCTACCTATATTGGCAGCTCCATGACGATGTTCTAGTGCTTAAAATAAAGAAAAAAAAACAGAATTATGACAAAATAGGTCTTAAATTGGTATTACTCGGACTCGGAACCCTCTCTATGCCCAATCTATGGGCAATGGGCAATCAAATCCAATTGAGTGCCAACAAAAAGTAGCAACTAATAAGGTTAAATATCGCGCATTTGTGTATAGGGTTGAGTGACTGCCACGCCCCTTCTGCGCATGGCCAAGTGCCTTGCGGGTGGGCGTTATATTACGGAAACTCCTCCAGCATATTGGGGTGGATAGATGGCCGGGAAGAGTGCTCTTAACAATGGCAAAATAATTGCGGGTTTTCCAGTCAGCCATTTTAGTGGAGAGACACTTATTGTTCCTCGTTCCGTGTGTTCCCTGTGTGCGGAAAGTGAATGTTAAATGTTTCCAATTGATTGCTAATTATGGGTTAACAGGAATGCTCTCACCGGTTACAAAATCTGAGTGTTTCAAAAGGGAAGTAGTCACTGGGATATACGATACATCATCTTTATAGATTAACATATGGGTTTAATCATTTTAAATAGATGGTAAGTAAAACCGCCCTGCCTGAAAATATGATTGCCTGATAAAAATTTGTTTGATCTTTTTCATCATAGTCGATTTTTACCTATTTTAGTCGTACATTTTATAATTATTCCCATCTTCAGCATACCCGCCCCGATGTTTGATTATCGTTTGAATCGTTTTCTTACGTCACAGAATCAAAGTGCAAATCTCTATTCGAATCGGTTCGGCATTCACTGAACTGATAAACAAATCTACAAGTAACATTCTATATACTGTTCCTAGACTTTTCTACATAATTTATTTATATTTATTTGTAGAGCATTTTGTGGCTAATGTTCTAATTTAAAGACACACTCTAATCTCGGACAAATTAACAGCAATCGAGAGATAACCATAAAATGATATATGGTTCTAAGGTCGAAGCAATGACGAGACGGGCAGCCACCAGAAATACAGAACAGACCGGACCTATAATACTTTGTAGAAAGGAAACTCCTAGTATTCTTAAGATTGTTATCAGTGGGATTGATAGGGTTTATGAACAACAAACTGGGACTGTGGACGAGCCCCCCAGACGTGCAATCGGTCGCTTTGGTAATACGAATCACTCACTTACGACTAACCGCCGAGTGTTTGATATTTTGTTACATAATGTTTAACCAGAAGATAATATATAGGGTGCTACATAAATAAAGATATAGTACCATTTTTTTTGGTTGCCAAATCTGTTATGTTTTACAGAATGTATAAAACAATTTATGTTTTTTTCAAATGTTACCACAAATTTAATTAGTTAGAAAAATCCGAATCATATATTATTATTATTTTCAAGAACTACTGAGCACGAACACTCTTTATTATTTAATCAAAATTGTTTTGGTCTGAGAGAAAAACTGTTTTTTACCACAAGAAACGATAGGGCGAAATGACATTATGATAAGAGTTTCTACGGTTTTGGATCTTCTTTATCGTAGCATGTATGTATGTATGTATAAAATCGCCCTCTCTCAAATGAAAACTCTCTCTCTCTCTTCCTTTGCTTTGTGTCTAGTGGCTAAGCTCTCAATCCATATGCTCGCCGCTCCACACTCCACTCTTATTTCCATCTCTGTCCGTCTGCAGCTGGTATGCTCCCCATCTGCACTATCTCTTGCTCTCACTAGCAAAGCTCCTGCACTTTTTTCTTATCGCCACATCTGCACTCGCTCTTTTCCCATCGAATCGCTCTTCCCTATTACCCCTCATATATGTATGTACTCTCTCTTTCTCTCTCTGTCTCTTGTATGTATACGAAATTTACATGCTATCTGTCAGTGGAAAAAAGCAAAACAAGAGAGTAATGATAGTTTTGAATCGCCCATGCTTTTAATACTCTATGAGGTCTTTTATTTTTAAATGAAAATACGATCAAATCAGACACAAAAATGTTTTTTTTTTGGTATATTGTATAGTCTTCCGATTTCCTTAAATTTTAGTGAGCAATGCTATTAATATCGTCTTTAGACTTGTTTATTGACACAATCATATATTCAGAATATTCAGCATGACAAGCTCCTTTTCAAATCGTAATACCTTTACTGAGGAAGGGTACAAGCTGTGACGTTGGGGCCTCGCTGTTGTCTTGGGGACGTGGACTAAAATCGTATTAACGCACAGCTCGGTGCCGGCAGTCTCTTTAGTACCGCCGTCGACTGCGGTGTTCGCCTCGTTTTCGTTTTCCCTTCATCTATAGATCTGTTTTGTGTTGTAAGTGAAAGTGTATTTCGGTTCTTAAGAAGCTCCACAAAAGCATTGTCCAAGGGGTCAACGAAATGTTAGGCGCAAGCCCTAAAAATCAAATCATTCACATCACTTGAATAGATGATTGATAGTGGTACTCGTTTACGTATATACGATATAAATAAAGCATTTACTTATAGACGATACGGTGGCTAATCATGTGTTCCTCGGCAAAGTTCCAAAAATAAATAAGGGCGCACGTGTCGGTATATTAAAAATTGGATTTGCTAAAAAATATTATATATTTTGTGGTTCCGGTTTTATACAACTTTCCTTGATACGAATATGTCCCCATATGTACATACATATGTGTATAGTTTTGTGGGACAAACAGGTTATCAGCAAAGTCAAAAATAAATAAAAATAAACAAGAAATGAATGCCACAATCGACGACCGAATCTTTTGATACCCTTGCTAGGAATGATCATTACTTTACATTATAATTTGGAATCAAATAAAACTCCGTCATCGGAAAGAAAAACAATGTTATATTCGCAGGAACTATAAAAACAAAAAAAAGTGTCTTGTTTTTACAGAAACTTTTATTCTGTTCAAATCTATATACTCTGTAGTGTCGGAATTTTTATATTTCAAAAGAACAATCAAGAAATACATGAAAAGCTACAAGTTTTCTTATAATGATTGCTTTTTATGCGACAAGAGACCCAAAAAACAATCATGTAGCCCCTATCTATCTATCAGAACAGAAAGTACGCCGATAGGGTACCCGCTTTGACCTTCACAACCATCGGAAAGGGCACACTGTGTGGCAAATTATAATTTGTTTGTATTTTGATGGATCCCCACAGGAACCACAGCATACTCGTATCCGTAATTTAGAGTGTCCAACCGATAATGGCGGCCAGTAACGGTAATTGTAAGTGAAGGCACTTCCTGCTTCCAAACTCCCTGCCGCCCTGCTGTTGCCTCTCCTGCCTGTCCTTTCACAACCTGCAGCTTCCTCCAATCCGCAACAATATTCTGTACCTAATAGATCCTAGGCAACCTGTTGTTCCACTTCCAATACTTACGCAGCCTGTTGTACCATTAAATACTAAACTGTATTGATGATCCAGCCCATCCTTAAACCTGTTTTCCTGCCTGTCCCGAAATCCAATATAATCTTGCAGATATTATACTTACAAATTACTGCAAAATCAATCCCAAAAGCCACCCCAAATGCTACCTTATAGAGATTATAAACCCTAATTTATGTATGAATGGCATGCGTTGTACTAATCGTTACTCCAATATTACGTTTACTTGAATAATTTATATAACTTGCTAACTTTTAACCGCTTATAGGTAATTATTCTTAATCTCTGAATAAAATCACATAAAATAATCAGACTATATTTTTTCATTAATCTCTTCTGGGATTAATTTAATTATACACGCGGAGTTTCAAGAAAATCTTTTATGTTTTGTATTATTTGTTCACAAACCGTAGCATCCTCTCCTAATCCCCTCCTTTTAACAATGATTCCAAGAATCCAAATTATAATCCAATTTCATTCATAAACAGCAAAAATGACCCAACAGGGCAATGTGTTCGACTCCAATGCCATGACGCTGACGCGTTTTGTGCTCCAGGAGCAGAAAAAGTTCAAGAACGCGACTGGGGATCTGTCCCAGCTTCTCAACTGCATCCAGACGGCGATCAAGGCGACGGCATCGGCGGTGCGGAAGGCTGGTATTGCCAAGCTCCATGGCATTGCCGGGGATGTGAATGTCCAGGGCGAGGAGGTCAAGAAGCTGGATGTGCTCTCCAACGATCTGTTCATCAACATGCTCAAGTCTTCCTACACCACCTGCCTCATGGTATCCGAGGAGAACGAGCATGTGATCGAGGTGGAGACAGAGAAACAGGTGAGAAAATCAGTTAAGATATCGGAGCTGTGGCTAAGGCAGATGGATGAATTCTATTCCCACTCTGGCAGGGAAAATACATTGTCTGCTTCGATCCACTGGACGGATCCTCCAACATAGACTGCCTGGTGTCGATTGGCTCCATCTTTTCCATATACCGGAAGAAGAGCGAGGGCGTGCCCACCGTCGAGGATGCCCTACAGCCGGGAAACCAGCTGGTGGCCGCCGGCTATGCTCTGTACGGCTCTGCCACGGCCATAGTCCTCGGACTGGGAACGTCGGGAGTGAACGGCTTTACATACGATCCGGCCATTGGCGAGTTCATCCTCACTGACCCCAACATGCGCGTCCCTGAGAAGGGAAAGATATACTCGATCAACGAGGGCTATGCCAGCGACTGGGAGGCGGGAGTGTTCAATTATGTGGCGGCAAAGAAGGATCCCACCAAGGGCAAGCCCTACGGTGCCCGCTACGTGGGCTCCATGGTGGCCGATGTCCATCGCACCATCAAATACGGCGGCATCTTCATCTACCCCGCCACAAAGTCCGCACCAAATGGAAAGCTGCGTCTGCTCTACGAATGCAATCCCATGGCCTATCTAGTGATCCAGGCCGGCGGCCTGGCCAGCGACGGAAAGATCAGCATCCTAGACATTGTCCCCAAGAAGATACACGAGCGCAGTCCCATCTTCCTCGGCTCCAAGGCGGACGTTGAGGAGGCGCTCAGCTACTTAAAGTGACTTTTACTTTTGTAATTTATAAATACACCCAACACAAGTTTGATATTTTGTACCTAAATGACTTCTCTTTCATATCCTGCCCCTCGAAAAGGGCTACAAAAATGCACTTCCCAAGTGGACGTTATAATTCCCAACCGGTTCTAGCCGCACAGTCATCAGGTGGTGGCTGATTTCCAGCTTCAAGTTATCGCTTCTCGGCCTTATGGCTAAGATCAAAGTGTAGTATCTGTTCTTATCAGCTTAACATCTGATAGTTTCTCCATTGGAGAACAACAAATGTTAAACTGATTTTTGGAATCAGACGGAGTGCTAGGGGCTTGCTCCACCTCTGTCGCGGGTTGGCCCGGTATTGCAGTACCGCCGGGATTTCGGCCCAACTAAATAATCAATTCACACAATAGTTTGTTAGAATAGTAAATGTTCTCATTGTTGTTATAGAATTGCACATGTCACATGTCATAAGTGGATGATGTGATCAGAACGTCATAGAGATTAATCCAAAAATGCCTCGCAGATAAAGTGTATATAATCGGAACCGCAGGGGCTGTCGTTCATATCCATCCCGCCTACGTGGGAATGGGTCTGTAGCTCGACTCAATTTTCGGAGTTATTGGGTTCGTGTACTCGCCAGTAAAACAATGTTCCCTTCAAGCCAATGGTGGACGAAATAAACACTTCTGTGTTTAGATCGGTCAGATCTATCCAATATCCCTTATTTCTGTCCAGCATCCTGTCGAAACCCTTCATTTCTTCCTCGCTTTGTAGACTCGCCAAATGAGCTCCCATCTCACAGAATTTAAGCAATGCATCGATCCAGTTCGTTTTAATATAATTTTCTATGTAATAGTCTTCGGGACCAATTTTTTTTTAAAGATTTAAATATGATTTATTTTGGTTTTTTTTTTTTTTCTTTCCGAACGGAATCCAGCTCTTGCTCCAATTTACGAACTTTGGACTGGGAGCTTTTATCCAACTCCTCCTGGATCCTGCATCTAAAATGCAACCAATTTATTCTCTGCGATGATGAAATGGAAATGAGTGAGAAATTAGTTGGCTATTAAAAATCACATCAAAGATCTCCCAAAGGCTATCGCAAAAAATATAACAAAATGTACCACCGCTATGCTATTAATTCTCTCAACGCAATGTAAAACCAGCAGGAAAGTTGTGTGTCGCAGTTAGAGGCGCGACTCTTTGTACATTTATACCCGATACTCAGACCAGATGAGATCCAGATTTGGCAATCTGATAGATATTCTCTAGATCTAGGTCATAGTATCCAACGCACTGAGATTCCTCATCTTGGGATTCCACCTCATTCCGTGATGTTTTAGACAGGGATCTCCCAAAGGCTATCTCCAATAATATGAATAGTATAATGGAACAGCGCATTGATATTACTTCTTCGAACGAAATCTAAAAATCGACTGGGCTTAGTAGACTTTTTATAGGTACATATGTATGTAGGTATGTATGTGTCCCATTCTGATAATAAATTAAAGTGCGATTATTCCAGCAATTACGAAATTTAATTTTCAAACGTCAGGCATAATATTCCAAGAAATAGGGTCTAAAAGGCATTAGCCTTGTGCTTGGGCACAAAGCTGAACCCTTCTGGCACCCGACCCAGCAGCATTTCACTGAGCTTCACCCAATCTGCGGCATTGCCGGAACTCATGAGGGTCTCCATTTCGTCGCGACCTCTATATTTCTGGGGCCTTTCATTGATCTTCTGTGGTGGGGTCTGCTGCAACTCCTCCGGTATGTAGCGGTACAGGAATGATTGCCATTCGAGTAGGAACCGTCGCGTGCTCTCCACACCCTTCGTGTCCGATCCCCAGTGCTCGAGTCCATAGTTGCAATAGCGACGCAGCATCTCAAAGCGCTGCGTTGAGGTGGGAGACCAGGCCTTTTGCTGCTTGATCTCCTGAAATATCCATGGCTTGATGAGAGCCCCGCGTCCAATCATCACAGAGCTGACATGAGGAGCCAGCGCTCGCCTCTCTACATAGTCCTCGTAGCTGAGAATGTCGCCATTGCCAATGATTGGCATTTGCTTGGCTGTAGCGGCGCACTGCTCGATGTATTCCCAGTTGGCGTGCTTGGTGTAGCGCTGCTCGCGCGAACGCCCATGCAAGGTCACGGCCGAAGCGCCCCACTCCTCGACTAGGGGCACCAGCTCGTGGGCTACGCTCTTGTCCGCATAGATTCCCGTGCGCATCTTCACGGTAAATGGCAACTGCTCGGACAACGAGGAACAGCTGCGCACGACCAACTCCAATATGTTCGTGCGCCTCATCAGAGCACTACCGCCTCCTTGCTGGTAGATCAGATCAATGGGACATCCGATATTGAGATCTATGTAATCCACCTTTGCCGTCTCCTGCAGGACTTGGGCTGCCTGGGTGATGACATTGGGATTGTTCCCGCACAGCTGAACGCCAAATATGTCCTCGCTCTCGTGACGCTTTGTCAGTGCCCACTCCTGGCCCAGGCCCTTGAGGAGGGGCACAGCACAAGCCATCTCGCCGCAGGTTATATCCGCACCGAGCTCCTTGCAAATGCGGCGGAAAGGCAAGTTGCCCACGGTGGTCAGTGGCGAGAGGACGAGCTTCTCGCGAAAATCAACGGCTGGCTTGCGGTCAGCATCTCTCCCCAGAGGAGAATCATCGACCGCACTTCCAATGGACGCCTCACTGTCTGCTGCAGGCGCTTTTGCAACTTTAGCCTCTGCCTCGTGGTCTATCGTGATGTCACCCTGCTGATTGATCTTTTTCTGCAACTCCAGATTCTTCTCTTGCACCTCCAGTTTCTTCTCTTGCAGTTCCCTTTGCTTTCGGGCATCACGAATCTTTTCTGCCACAGCAATCATTAATTTGCTGCGGTCCAAATTGTATTCGTGCTTCCGAAGACGCACCTGAAGGTCTAAGGGAATAAACGTTTATGCACGACCCTACTGAGTGAGCGCCAACGGATACTAACCTGGGGTAATCCCATTGAATGTAGTCTGATTGGCCTTTGCATCGTAGTCATCCTTCTTTATATTCCTTCCCTGGTCGTCTGTGTGCGCCTTGGCATAACGACATGTGACACCGCGGCCACAATACCCCTTGGTGCTATACACGTAACATTCCGAGCCCAAATCCTCGCCCTTGGCTGCCAGAAAGGCATCAAGATCGTGGACATAGCGACAATTGGCCAGAGAACAGGGATCGCCGCCTGGTCCATCAATCAGAGAGTGGCAAAGATGAGAATAGCGATCCTCCTTGAACACAGGACGGTTCTGTTTGGAGAAAAACAATTCATCCTAAGACTTGATATACCATTCAGCACTATAAAGTTTACTAGCCTTGTTCTGGCCACGTTTGCGGTCTTTTTTGTTATCTTTTTTCCCGCCAGAGTCCTCAGTGTCCTCACTCCCATCCGCGCGCTTTCTTTTGTTGGTTTCGGAGCTTTCCTGAGTGGCTGTCTCACTGTTGCCACTGGCTTCAGTTAACAGATATCTAAAAATTAATCACACATATATATACAAAGCTTCCAAAGACTTCAACCATGCCCTTACTCTGGTTTTATATAGCAGATTCCCGGCTCCATTTTCCAACAAACAATTTTTTGGCTCACGTTTTGGCCGGCTACTTCTTCTTATTTGCCATTCAACTTCGTGCAGGAAAACAGCTGACTGCAATAGTTATCGATATTTCTTTATGTTTTTAGCGCATCTCTCTTGTATAATGCCGCACGATGGTTCAGATATTTAAATTCCTATTAAAATCAAATAAATCGGTAATTATGCAGCTTAAGTTGGGATTTCCGTATAACCCATTGACTGTTATATGCAGCCCGCTCGTGCTCACTTCCGTCCCAGCTTCCTGGACACATTGCGACTTGCAGTTCGCGGTGGACATGGCGGTAATGGTTTGCCGAAATACGGAGGAGTTGGCGGTCAAGGCGGATGTGTTTACTTTGTGGCCAAAGAGGGATTGACATTGCGAAAAATGGCACAAGGACTGAAGGACAGACGCGTGGCCGCCAGCAGCGGCGAGGACAGCAGCAAAGTGAGCATTTTTGGGAAAAGGGGCGTCGACACGCGCATCGAAGTACCTGTGGGAGTTCAGGTGTACGATGAACAGCAGAAGCTGCTGGCGGACTTGAACGAGAACGATGCCAAATGCATAGTGGCGGGTGGTGGAACTGGCGGCTGTACGGGCAACAATTTCCTGGGCCGGCCGGGAGAAAATCGCATAGTGAACCTGGATCTGAAGCTCATTGCAGACGTGGGTCTCGTTGGATTTCCGAATGCCGGCAAGAGCACCCTGCTCAAGGCAGTGTCCAATGCCAAGCCAAAGATTGCTGCTTATCCGTGTGAGTTTGGAATGGCTCTTTGATTGATTAAATCCACTTAATAAGTGTCCTTTAAGTTACCACCATTCGGCCGCAGATTGGAACCATAGAGTACGGGGATCTGCGCTCCATCAGCCTGGCCGATTTGCCCGGTCTCATCGAGGGTGCACATGCCAACTTTGGTATGGGCCACAAGTTCCTCAAGCACATCGAACGTACTCGATTGCTCCTCTTCATGGTCGACATATTCGGCTTTCAGCTTAGTCCTCGGCACCCGCATAGGGACTGCCTGGCCAACATATATTCCCTCAACAAAGAGCTGGAGCTGTACGATCCCTCATTGCTGGAAAAGCCCTGTGTCCTTTTGCTCAACAAAATGGACAAAGAAGGCGCCCATGACATTTTGACCAAAGTGAAACCCATTATAGATGATTTGTCCAGCGGCTTGGCGGACTGCCCAGAGGAAGTGCGTCCCAAGCGGGTGCTGAAATTCGAAAGCATTGTCCCCATATCGGCAATTAATTCGACAAGGGTAACGCAGGTCAAGTCACAGCTGCGCCGAACTCTGGTGCGTCTGGCGGAGAAACAGTTTGTGTCCGATGGCGAACAAATCAAAGAGCAGTTACAGCAACGTGTGGGCTTGGTGGGGCCAAGATTAACTTAAATATAAATGCAAACTAAAATAATAGCATTCTGCATACCCTTGGGAAAATGATA